ATATATATGAATTGTTGTAAAACTTTCAGAATATGTTAACTGACGAAATAAACTAATTGATGGGATATTGATATTTATATTTGTTATCGATAATAAACCCCGACAGCTATCAGTTTCTTAATGCATTGATACCCACAACTAATCTTATCTTTATTTTATTCTCTTTCTAGGTAAGTAAAAAATATTTAAAATGCAATTATCAAGCTGAGATCTGGAGCACTTCTGATGACGCATATTTATAAGTGGGTAACTAAAGTAATCTGATGCGTATTTTATGAGCAACTTATTGCAATTAAACTATTCAAAAGTTTATTTATAAATATATTTAATTACACATATATTGGTATATATATCTGTATATATATACTATATGTATTCCAGCAGTTTATGTCTGAAGCTGTGTTACCATAAATTTTCAGGCAAACGTGTATCAATTTAATATGCTCGAGACGGACTAAACACGAGCATGATTTTTTTTGTATTTTTTTATATTTATTTTTTTAGCATTCTTTAACAATTACGAGTTCAATAGCGTTCACAAGAACTCAACAGTTGGCATTTAAAGCGCATAATTTGAATTTAAACGTATTGTTTTATTTATCATTTTGTTTTTCCTTTTTTCATTTTGTTTTTGCCTTTGTTTTTGTTTTGCCAGGCTGACAAAATGTCAAACAACAAATGAGCGCAACAAGTTAATTATATTAAGCTGATCTTTACAATCAAACGCACTTTATGACTAATTACACACGTAAATGAAGCTCGTTTATCTTGTCAGCACCTGTGTTAAGAGAGAGCAGAACAAAGGCAGAGAGCAAAAGGCCAAAGGCAAATGGCAAAGAGAGTTTTTCCTGTCGTCTTATTGCTATCTCTTTCTGTTTTAGAAGAGCAAGAAAAGTGTCAAATCAGCTGTTACAGCGTGCAGATCTTATAGAGAGTGTGACCATTGCGGAGTTAGCGTCTGCTTCTTGCTGCAAAGCTCTTGGAGTATAAGAGAAAAGAGCGCACTTATACAGGCACGCATACAGTCAAAGCTGAGCTCAAGTGGCGCTCGAAGCGCACATAGATATATACACTCACGCTATACTGTGTATATGTGTGTGCGTGTAAGACGTACCGCTGCGTCGGTTTCGTGCGGTTTAAAACCTTTCTATAAAAATTTCATAAACGTATCAGTTGTCTGCGAAGCGGTGCACAAAACAGACGTCGAACGGAAGGTGGCAAAACGATATTTAACAGAAATTAAAACAAAATAAATAAATATTTATATCAAGTCAAATACAAAATAACGTGTGTTTATGAAGCATAAAATTTATATATATATTTGAGTATATATATAGGAAATTCAATTCAGTTCGATTTCAATAATCGCGTTTATTTCCAACTACACAGAAACTTGTTGCACGCGTGCGCGGCATGTTGGCATACTTTTAGCAGCAACTGTTTTTCTTTGTTCAACAGTGGCTCTAAACAACGTTCGTCTCTATATCTACATCTGTATGTGCTTATGTGTGTGTAACGCGCGCGTGTGTGTGTGTGTGTGTTTAAGTGCACTTACAATATGATATGGAGCAGCCGCAGCAGCAGGCATATTGGCAACATTTCTTAGCTTAGCTACATGTTGCTGCAACATACGACTAAAAGGTAGAGATGAAATTAAGTTGCAAGCAACAACAACAGCAGCAGCCGCAGCAACAATGTTTATTATAGTTGTTTGTTGTTGTTTATTGATTGTTGTTGTTGCTTGTTTGTTGTTGTTGTTATCTGTTTTGCCGCTTTGTCAAGTTGCGCAGAACTTTCTATTTTCTTTGCTGTTTCGTGCTGTGCTTTTTATAGCCATAGAGCTTAACTTACTCAGATACAAACTATACATACATATATATATATATATATATATATATATATATATCTAGATAGCTTTAGCTCGTTAGAATTTCAATGAATGAATTTCATAAGAATTTGTGCTGTACGTCAACCATTGCCTGTTGAGCATAATAAACTTGTTTTGAGTTTTTTTGTTTGCATCTGCATTTACGTAATGTCCAAAAATATTGGTTAAATAGGTCTATTGAACGCGCTGCATTTACATCCTCTACACTTATCGGGGACTATGTGCTTGAATGTGCATATTTTGTGGTCAGTTTTAGTTATTTTTTGCAGCAGCAAAAGTTGCCTGCAAAAAATATGCTTCGAAATGCACATAAAAACCATATATATAGAGGAAAAAACCTCTTAACGGGCGATATAAATGCTTAGTTAATGACACTTGGCCACATGGCGATTATACATATATATATATATAGTTTATATAGTATTATACTTTACTCGACTTTTCGAATTGGTTTATTATTTTTATTATTATTTTTTTTTTTGCTTTGCTGCTCAGCTATTATCAATTTTGAACTTACGTGACTTGAACAAATTGCATTATTTCGCACATACATGCCTACATATATATATATATATTTATATATATAAAACACATACATATAATGGCATCTTGGTATAGTTTGTAGCGGGTTCCACAACTTGGTTTCCATGTCTTGCTGCCGTTTTATTTCTTGCTACTTTTATAATTCTTGGACGTCATTTAAGCGCGTTTTCTCTTATCGCTATTCAAGCGACATGTGACGACGGTTTTTTTAAGCTATGATTTCTAGACACTTTATGGAGGTTGAACCGTTTTTGTTTTATATAGAAACAAAATAGGAAACTTTTCACTATCATATATTGAAGCGTGGCTTGTGAATTTTATGAAAACTTTTAGCGACTGAAAGTTGCTTGAATTATGGTTAACTAACTTTAGAAATTAAAGAAGTTATACGAATATCTGAAAAGAAGAATTTGGGGAAAGAATTTCGAAAAATATACTTGAATTTAATTGTTTTTATTGAACTGTTGCAGTATAACAAATATCCAATGAAGTTTCAAAGTACATAACTATTGTTTGACTTGTGTTTTTTTTTAAATAGTTTATCTCAACTTAAATGTTGCTTTACACCTCTCTTTTTAAGCTAGATATGATATATTTGATATTTCAGTATTTTCTATATTATTTTGATTGATTTAATATGTTTCTATTTAATTATTCAGTTTAAATGCAGCATATTTTTTTGCTCTCGTTGTTTCTCTGTATCTCTCTATATATCTGTGTCTTTATATCCCTATGTCTCTGTCTCTCTATATCTCTGTCCCTCTCTATATCTCTGTACCTCTCTATATCTCTGTCCCTCTCTATATCTATTTCCCTGTCTCATTATATATATATTTCTTTTTGTCTATATATATATATATATATCTGTATATCTCTCTTTCTCAATTTCTATGTTTCTCTCTCACTCTATATATGGGTCTCTTTCTCACTCTCCTTCCGCCTACCACTTCCACTTCATCTATTTTTCCAGCACTATAAATTTTTGCTCAGCATGCTCTACTTTATCTTTTGCTAGGGTATACATTTGTTGAGCCTTTTATCTGCCGTAAACACATTTGATGAGTTTGATTTTGTAGCGTGTGCTGCTTGTACTTATGTGTATTCCCACACAGTCCTGCCACTATCTTTATTTTGTGGCTGTCTTCAGCAGACACTTTGCGTCACAGTTGGCGTGTGGCTGCTGCTGTTGTCTCTTCTCTTTGAGCCATAAATTTCCTGTCCGTGACTCATGCGGTCGTCAGTCAGTCGACGGTCGTCAGCAGCAAAACGATAAAGATACAGATACAGATACATACAATATATATAGATATGTATTTTACTTGAAAATACATGAAAATTGCTTACAAAAGGGCGCAAAGAGTAAAAAATATAAAGAGTATGAAAACAAAGTTATTCAGAGCAAAACAAAGACAGCGTAAAAGCAGTTCAATTGTTTTTTGTTTTCTTGTCTGTCGAACTGTCAAGTTTTATCTGTGAACAGCAAATGTTATACAGCTTTTTGCAGCTGAAGCAGGAGAACGCGGCTTAAATTGCAACAGAACTTAACGTAACAATAAGGTCATTGTGATAAGCTAAACGACATTTTGCAATAAAAGTTGTTACAGAAAGCTACTTTTAATGAAAATTAATAACTTTTATGAAAAACCAGGGCTTGAAGAAGTTAAAAAATGTATCGATTTCGTACCTTTAGCTAGTTTTATAAAAGTGTTTCTAACTAGAAAGGCTACAATTTTATATGCTATAAGATTTTTATATATCCAAAGTTGCTTAAAATATAAAATTTCATTAAGTAAATAAATAAATATATATATATATATAATATATAAACATATAGCTTGTAAATCAAATAAGAAATCCATTAACTTGCTGGCGTAAGTTGGGCTTCGTACAGCGTTATTAACACTTTATTATGTATATATTTTGATGCAATTCAAACTGAAATATATATGTTTAGTTAGTTATCCATTATATTAAAATTAAATTACATCAAATCAAATTTCAAGCCAATAAAAAGTTGTCTTTGCTGCGAATCAACTTCCTGCCTTTGACGTGCCTGGTAAGGCTTGGCACTTTCCAGTTTCTTATTCCAGCTTGCCTGCAATGTATATGTAGAATATAAAATTATATATATAGTTATATATTATAATAAAGTAAATTAGATATGAACATTGTCAAGCAACAAAAAAGTTGTTTGTGGTTTAATTTGAGATTCAAATCAACTTGTTGCTTTCGATTTCAATTTGTAAAGCAGTTTTAACTTTTCTATAAAGACAAAAAAAAAGTTATATGCATATATATATATATATATATATATATATATATATATAAATATATTATATATACATATGTATATTGATTGAAAACTTTATAAATTTCTTCTATACACAAATAAACAATTTATATATTATTTTAATTTACAAATGCTATGTACTGAAAATATTGCATTAAATAAATATTCGTATATACCGAAAGTGCTCTATATACATTATATTTAAACAAAGAAAAAAGAAAGAAAAGACTAGATAGAAATAGGACCAAGTTATTATTATTATATCTACTTTACGGCATTGTCTCAAAAGTTTTTATTCAATCAATTTCTAGATAAGCATAGACATCGTTTGGCAACTCGTTAAACTTTGGTGCCCTTTGATATTACGAAAATTTCTAGGAATTGACAGATTTAAACGATTTAGATGCATAGCCTTCACGCCGCTTGCAACCAGTTATAGATAATATGCTTTATTGACTGTTATATGAAAAAGTTTGTGCGAATTTTGAGCGCTGGAAGTTTCCCACAATGACGTATACTTCTTGGAATTCAATACCAAGATAAAGTTATTTTTTTCCGTTTTTTCTTTGGGGTATTTCATGCTTAAAGTCCACAAATCGAAACTGGTTGTCGAAGGAGCTTCACTTTTATTTTATATATGTACACACTTCAGGCTAAACACACAGCTTTCGATCTTCTTTTTATACCCTAAAAGTAGTGTTAAATGGGTATAATGTTTTTGGGACAGGCAAGAGCAGCAACAGCTGATTCAATCTCTAGGTTTGTTGAATTGCTTAGGAGCTAATGACACGAATGAAGGACTTACGCGTCAATCAAGTTCAAGTTCAAGTTCAAGTTTGTCTTTTGATGATGTTGCATTTTTGAGTTATTTAAGCATAGTTCGCATCTTGTAACAGCTTTACTTAATCTATGAGCTATCGAGATTCTTCTGTTGCTTCGTCTATACATTTCACTTTTTATATACTAAACCATTTGCAGCTTAGAGTATCTTCTAGTTGAGCAGTCCCCACTAGAGTACTCTTACTTGTTTTCATCCCCAACTTCCTTCCCAATTTCATGCGAATATCAGAAATTGAGCTGCTCCACATGTGCGCATGTGGGTTAGCGTATCATTCTAGTCTAGCACTCCCCACCAGAGAGCACTCTTACTTGTTTTCAGCTTCGTTTGTTTGGGAAGTTATTTAAGCTCTAGCCACTGAACAGTTTCCAGGCCATTTACAATAATTACATCCGAGGCTGCTCAAAAATTGGTGGCTTTTTTATTTTGGGCGCGCTCTTTTCGGGGGCTGCTGAACTCTGCGTGTCCAAAGTTATTTGGCGCTACTAAATTTAGTCGACGCTCTCGTTACCATTGTGCAATGACCCAAATCAAAGCCAAGCTTATTTTATGTCTGTTTTTGCCTACGTTTCTTTTTTTTCTGTTATGTCTGTGCGAGCCAAGCAACGTTTTGTTTTTGTGTTTTGGCCATTTTTAAATTTGGCTTTAATTTGCACATAAAATGGAAGCTGCGCTCTGGGCTGTTTTTTATTTTGCGCTTGGAGAAAGTATGTGTGTGCTCGTATATTAAAGTCTTAGTTCGAATTGGCTTGGCTGTCTCGCCTCAAATTAGTTGATTATTAATAATTTTGTCTATGTGTGTGTGGGGCGTGGCGGTAGCGGCGACGGCAACAGCGCATTTCATAATTTGCCTGGCAACAAATGCTTGGCAACAATGTTGCGCCCAGCAAACGTTTGACAGCAATGTTGCCAGCCAGCCAAGCAAACGCTTGACTAATAATCTACACACACACACACACACACACACAAAGGCAAAGACAATGAGCAAAAATGGAAAATACAAACCGGTTCAAATTGGGTCGTAGTACTTTTGAGTGCAATTGTTACCTTTGAGCGGTAGCAACAGCAAAACCAAAAAAAAAAACACTTTAACAATGGTTAACACTTCACTCATTATGGCTGGGTTATTATGTTGGTCTTGTTTCAGTTTTCTTGGCACGCGCTCCACAACCAACCGAGTGGCAAGCCAACAAAAAAATTTTTTGCACCGCCTACACCTTGATTTTGTAACGTATTTCGAATTCGGTTAGCATAGGTCAGTCTTGCAGAAGTCTGATCGCATATTGTGTGGTCGCGTGGGGCGTGGCAGGGCTGTCGCCTTCCGCTGCTAACCTTGCTAGTTCTAATGCCAAAAGCTTTGGCATTCCATTGACAAATCGTCGCAAAACCTAGAAACCAAAATCGTTTATTAAACATCTATTAGCGAACATTTCAATTTTGCATACTCACAGCTCTCCGACTACTAGTGTTAGCCTTCCAATTCGTGACTTTTTTGCATTGAAAATCATTTTTTATATCATTTATTAATTCTTTTTCTTTGATTTGCTGTTGAGCCCAAAGTGCATAGCTGCGAGTTCGATTTTTTTTTTTTTTTTTTGTTTGTTTGTTTTCAAATAAAACAAAGCACGACTAGTTCTTGTGACAAAATCCAGCTAATTAATATATAGCATTTTAATATATTCATATACATATATCTCTTCAAATCTACAACCACTTTCGTCTGGGGTTCTGGTTCGACAGGTTTTATGCGTGTCTTTGTATAGCCAAAGATTTTTTTAATATTGTTTTTAGGAACAGCTGTTAAAAGAAACATTATACTCATGTGACTACAATGTATTATTAGACGTAGCGAAAAGTAATCGCACGCTTTATATAAGAATTTCGTTAGAAATCTAAATCCAATCATTTCTGTTTTAGTTTAACGTATAAAGTTAAATGAAAAAAAAATTAACACATAAAAAATAAAATTTATCGATAAATTGAGCGATAATCAAACAGCCAAGCTGTGTCAAAATCTGTAGAAAAAAGTATGAAGTTAGAAACTAACAGGAAAACAACTGAGCCGACACACTAATTTATTGCCAATAATCGATCAGTTATGTTAGCTAATCGATAAATAATAGTCAAGAAATGTAATAAAACGATCTACTGACTGGAAAACTCACAGAAAATGACATAATTCTCTCAGCTAAGATCATAAATAAGCAAATTTTTAAGCCTTAAACAAACTGATTTATTAATCGATAAATTAAATGTTATACTTATCGATAAATTTGGAAAACAATTAATCAAAGATGCACAGACAGGAAAAATACAACAGAAAACTCGAAAAATAACTTCCGAAGGAAAACAGTTAAGCAAATTTGCTTATTTGTTAGCTTATATCACAAAGAACTCCTAAGATTTACCGATTTTATAAATATATTATAAGTTACAGCACTTAGAATATTTGAGTGTTGTATAAGATCTTGGAGAAAGATCAAGATTGATGAGAAACGAAATTAATTTTATAAGACGAGCTTATCCAACTCGGTCATCATCGGCTGTCTCTGAATCTCATAATAGAAATTCTTTATAACGCAGTTAACATGCATAATTAAAAGGTTTACGGAGATTAAGATTGGAGCTCACACATGAAAGGGGATTGTCATTTAGCTGGGATTGTCTTGAGAGCTAGATATTCTATAGATTGCATATGATGAGGGATTGTCTATTGAGTGAAATGATATTGGAGAGAGTGAGAGACGGGGCTTAGAAATATTATGAAATAAATATTTAATATATAAAGTAAAGTAAATATAAATATAATATATTTAAAGAAGAATAAATATAAATAAAGTAAAAAATAAATAAATATAAATATAAATAAATAAATAAATAAATAAATATATAAATAAAAAAATATATAAGAATAAATATATAAATATATATAAAAACTTGGAAACCTTCAGAAGCGTTACATTATATAGTTACATTATATACTTCAATATTTTGCCTTATCCTAATGTTGCCCTATAGAAATTTATTTCTTATAATTTTAATATTTTTGTACTTGTCTTAAGCAGAAAACTTAGTTATGATTTTTAAGATTGTTTACTGAACTTAAAACCGTTTCTCAATTTATGGCTTTATATATAAAAAAATATAATTCGAAACGCCTTGATGCAGTTTTTGTCTCTTTTCTTTGTATTGTTTGCTGTTTTCGATTTCTTTTGTGGGCTGACATTGACATTTGCTGATGCTGTTGTGGCTGATGTTGCTGCTGTTGCTGCTGTAGTTGCTGCTGTAGCTGTAGCTACTATTGTAGCTTCTGCTGTAGTTACTGTGGCTGCTGATTTAGCTGATGCTGCTGTTGCTGATGTTGCTACTGTAGTTGATATTGGAGCTGATGTTGCTGCTGCCATTGCTTTAGCTTCTGCTGCTGCTGTAGTTGCTGATATTGCTGTCACTGCTGTTGCTACCTCGGCTGTAGTTACTGTTGCTGCTGCTGCAGCTGATATTGCTGCTGATGTAGCTGCTACTGCTGCTTTAGCCTCAGCTGCAGCTATTGTAGCAGATACTGCTGCCACTGCTGTTGTTGCTGTAGGTGCTGCTGCTGCTGCTGAAGTACCTTCTGCTGTAGTTGACATTGCTGCTGTTATAGTAAATATTGATGCTGCAGCTGCTGTTGCTGTTGCTGTAGCTGTATCTTCTGCTGTTCTCATGGCTCTTTTTTATGATCATCAGCTTGTTCGTTTATTGTCTTTTGTGTGTAACTAAAGCCATTTGTCTCCAGTCTGTCTCCCAGGATGTTCACTTCAATGGTTGCCTAGGCTGTTCGCTTCTGAGCAACTCTAAATCGCTTTTCGTCTCAAGTGCCCGCCCCATCTGCCCCTTTGCATCTTGCGATGTTTGCTTTGTCGGCATGTTGTTGTCAGTTAGTCAGTCACCGTAAACTTGAACTGCTCTGCGACTGCTGCTGTCCAAGTTGTTTCCATTTCCATTTGCGGCAATGTAGCCTTGAAGTCACACTTATTTACATACACACACTCACACACACACACACACGGCACGCACACTCATGCGTACTCTTATGCACTTACATGGCATACAAATAAAAGTTCATTGGTCAGCTAATGAAGCCCACCTTCAGTTGCTGTTGTTGTTGTGGTTATTGGCCGCAATGAGTTGCGTCTCAGCCATAATTGTTACCAATTATTTCAAGCTCAAACAGCCCACAGCCAAAAAATAATAAAAAATAATAAACAAAAAAATTCATAATATTTCATGGAATTTTACCATAAATTGTCACTCGGCTCGGCATTCATAAATCTTTGGGCCACAAAATCTTAATATTATATTTGCTTAGTTATAAATTTTTGCCAACATTTCAGAACTTTTAGCCACAATAATCATAAATAAGCATATAAAACTTGTTTATACAGCTGTTCAAATGCATAGTTCGTAATTTGTAGAAATCAGCAGTCGAACCATCTTTCAACTGGTACCAAATTCTATATATATCTAAATGTATATAAAGATATTTGTATCTTTGACTAATTGCCATAACTAACATGTGTTCAATTATAAGAAATTCCATTGAATTCTCTAACTTTGCATTAAAAAAACATTTTCTGCTTAGCTCAATTCAGTGGAAAACATATTTTTCCTTTGATTAATCAAATTCTTTTAAATGCAGCTTAATTTACTTATTTGTTTTGCGACAGAAACTAATGTCTTAGACCAGGTGAAATATGTGACAATTGTTAGCTTTCAATTGCCGCAGCGAAACACATGGAGTGTCAAGTTTTATATAATATACTGGAAAGTCGAAACTGCAGTTGCTAGATTTGCTGTGAAATATGCCTGAAATATGTTATTTAAAACTTTTGTACAACCTACTGGCTGATATTGCAAATATTTATGAACTATTCTAGGTATTTCGATCACATATTTTATATTGAAATGTTTTGTTTAAATGGAACTATAGCAATAACATTTATTTTCCACGGTCTGTTTAACAAACGTCTATATTCTGCTACTGAAAAAACATTTGTATGTTAAATTATCTGTATTATCTGTAACATATATGGATGTTCTGTGTAAGCTATACACCTTCCGCTGTTATATTACATATTTTATATTTAACATATGTTAAATTATGCTTAACATATGTAGCTGTTCTGTACAAGCTGTTAACAGAGTTGAAGGCGCATATAAAGACACTTTTATATTATTTTACATGCCATGTTGAGTTTAACATAGATTTGTTTATGTAATATTTGCTGTTAAATATACACGTAACATAAGAAACAATATATTTTTTAGTTGCTTATCTAGCAGAAGCTATACTACTAGCAAATTATGTGAGAGTAGAGCTCCTTTAATATCTTTATGTGCCAGTCTAACATATTGCACAACTCATACCAAATTTAAATTAAATTTACTTCGCTGACAATTTCTGTTATGAGAAGCACTCTTTCCATAATGCTTATAAACAACGAGGCTCCACATTGAGCTTAACTTGCAACATAATAAGTTGATGTTTACTTCAAGCATCTCCACATTCATCTGGCAACATTTTCTCTTTAACATTCTCTGTCATGTTATAGACACTGCTTAACAGTCTATGGATTCGAATTCGAATTTGTTTTCGACTTTTCTGTTTTTGCCTTCTTTCCAATTGTATTTGAATGAATTTAGCGTTTGTGATTGACCAAATCAACTCACCAAATTGTGTGTATTCCCTATGTGTATATATACTTATATATATAAATTCACTATAAACTGAAACATTTTATAGCAGCGGCCAATTCCATCACATGCAAATCGCATAAAACATTCCAAAATTGACAAGAGCGCCATCATTTTGAATGGCAACCACACGACAGCAAAAATTTGTTATTGTTTTTTGTTTTTTTTTTTTATGTGTGCCAAACCGTATAAAATACAAAATAGATACAAAACATTTGCCGTAAACTGTGAAATGTACTCGTTTATCTTGTGCATTCACTGCAATTGCTTTTGTTGCCTTTTCAAGGTTGTCTCTCGCTCTTTCTATGGCTCTCTATTGGATTTGAGCTAGCAAAAAAGTTTTCGATTGCAAATAGAATTTGCCAGGAGTGTTGCAAAAATCGTAGCAAAGATTGCAGCTGATGAGCAAAGCCATTTGCATACCCAGTGGTGTACTGAAACTCAATGGGGTATATTGAATATGAAAACTTTTACTAGCACTTGTGGAAGAGATATATAAAGAATGTGAACTTCAGTAATTGAAATATTTATCAAAGCTTTCATGATTTGTTTAAGTTGTGCTCTAGCACTAAGACTACTGCATGACTCAAGCAACCATAGGCGACTTCAAAGATTTCATGTGCTAGAGCTGCCCCATATAAAGAGATAATGATAGATATGTAAAGTAGGATTGATCTCATTGGAGCCCCAGCCTTCCGGTTATATAATAATATTATTAAAAAATTTATTTATTATCTAATTTAAGATAGATTGCAATTAAAAATTGCAAAATAAAAAAAAAAATAATTTTTTTTTAAATATTAAAATTATTAAACTTAGAAAGTAACTGACTCAACAAACAACTCTAGAGCTTGTGTACAGTTATACTCAATAGCAGAGTAGAGTAATTAAGATTCTGCTTATGATTGTGTAAAAGCACAAATAACGTCTTTTAAAATAAAACTAAAAATTGTAAGCAGGAAATCGAAAATTGGAAACAGAAAACTGAAAACTGAAAACTTAAAACTGAAAACATTGTAAGCAAGTAAAAGCACTTGAGCGCAGTACGAAACAATTGAAGGAAAAACACTGTAAAGTTCAATGAAAGTTAACAACAGCAACAAGAAAGAAGGAAAGAAATGAAAATAGGTTTTTTTTACTTATATATTGAAGTGTTTTATTTTCTTTTTCTAACAGTTTGTTGCC